GGCAACAGTTGAAAGGGACACTTGTGCAATTTATTTTCCACACTTCTGTAATGTTTGGACTTTAGACCACAAGCAGGCATAATTCTCTCTCTTTTTTTAGAGACTTTATTTATTTATTCATGAGAGACAGACAGAGAGAGAGAGAGGCAGAGGCAGAAGGAGAAGCAGGCTCCCCGTGGAGCAGGGAGCCCGACGCAAGACTCCATCCCAGGACCCTGGGATCATGACCTGAGCTGAAGGCAGACGCCTAACTGACTGAGACACCCAGGCGTCCCTGGCGGGCATAATTCTCGAAATTAAAAAATAGCAGTACCAAGTTTCTCATTACCGTCCCATAAATGATGGCACAGGTGAGGTGCCACCAGTTTACAAATTATGCCTCTATTGGCAGGTCCCACATAAGTCATTTCCTACCACTTGCCACTTTTCAGTTCCTCATGTACATTTACACAAGGAATCCATCGGGGGTGTGTGAATTTCTTGGAAATATGAACTAAAGGAATAATTGCCATTACACAAGGAGTAATTCCATGCTATTCCATGTAGTGCCTCAGTGGTCAAAGACAAGTCCCAGCCTCCTCACCCAGGGAACTGAGCCTGCATTGTGAGGAATAGAGGCAGTCTCACATGTTAGCGAGCAATTGCAGTGTCTGGCTCAAATTAGGCCCTCTGAGCTGAGTTCCCTCATGGGCAGGGACCACGGAACCCATTGCATGGCCCCTTACTGCCCCTCTCTACAACATTACATCTACATCATTAGGTGTCCACATTCTTGGCCTCCTACCCTAGCTAGCTCAGATGCCATGGACTTCCAGTCACTCATTCTCCTGCCAATTCTCCCTATTCCCTTGGTCCCATGGTACAAAGGCATCAAGTTTATGGACACCTCCAACCAGATGCCCTTCTCCCAAAGGCTGCTACTGGGGATGGGTGGTGGACCCCTCCCCGTATCCCATCAGGACCCAGGAACCTCTGAGGGGAAGGAACCCCAGAAGCAGCTGCAGGAACTCCAGGAGGAGTGGCCTTGATGATGACTTTTTCTATCTCCAACTAACTTCTGTGCCTTTCCTAAAAATCTCTCTGACTCCAGTATTTTACTGTGTTCCCAACACTTTGTCCCAGACCTTGCTCTGAACTGATGCCCTTATCCCTAGGATTCCTGCCCGGAAACACCACCCCTAGCTCTAGAGTATAACTGCTGCTTATCTTTCTAAATATGGATTCTATTTATCCTACTTTCCATTTCTTTAATGATCACAGAATTTCTCTTCAAGCACTGCTCCTTATGATTCTACCACCCTGTAACCCCTGTGCTGGAGAAAGTCAGTCTTGGATGTGAACACATCACCCCTTCAGTGACCATAACCAAGGGCAGAAGCCTTGGCCCTAGATCGTATAAGATTAGACACTGTCTCACACCCCTGCCAAAATAAAGCAGGGAAAAATGGTGTCTGGCTGTTCTTAGCACCCTAGCCGGCATCAAAGAAAGGCAGTAATGTAATGGTAGGATGGCATGATTTCTGGGGGTTAGGGGGGAGAGTGTCTGTGGCAGGGTCTGAAATTTTGCAGTTGTAACAGGAGCCCAGCTGTATGGTTAATTTTGTGTGTCAACTTAGGTAGACTGTGGTACCCAGATACTTGGTCAAACATTATTCTGGATATTTCTATGAGGATTGTTTCGGATTAGATTAATATTTAAATCTTAGAACAAAGCAGATTACTCTTCATTATGTGGGTGGGTCACACCGAATCAGTTGAAGGCCTAACAGAGAAAAGACTGACCTCCCTGAAGGAAGAGGGAATTCTGCCAGCAAATCACCTTCAAAACTGAACTGCACCTCTTCCCTAGGTCTCCAGCCGGCCAGCCTATCCTGCAGATTTGGGGCTTGTCAAGTTCCACAATAGCATGAGCCAACTCCTCAATTAAAAAAAAAGAAAAAAAGAATGAACAATGATACACCAACAAACTGGACAACCCAGAAGAAATGGAAAAATTCTTGGAAACATACAACCTACTAAGATGGAATCAGGAAGAAATAAAAAGTCCGAAGAGACCAATTACTCGTAAGAAGATTGGATGAGCATAAAACAAAACAAAACAAAACAAAACTCCCAATGAAGAAAAATTCAGGACCAGATGGCATCACTGGTGAATCTTACCCAACATTTATAGAAAAATGAATGACAATCCTTCTCCAACTCTTCCAAAAAATTGAAGAGGAAAGAACATTCTCAAATTCATTTTACGAGGCCAGCATTACCTTTATATCAAAACTGGAAAAGGACACTACTAGAAAAGAAAACTACAGGCCAATATCCTTGATGAATATAGATGCAAAAGAAAAATCAATAAAATATTTGCAAACCAATTCCAGCGGCACATTAAAGGATAATTCACCATGATCAAGTGGGATTTATCCCTGGGATGCAGGGATGGTTCAACATATGCAAATCATTAAATGTGATACATCGTATTAACAGAATGAAAGAAACATTACATGATCACTCAGTAGGAGCAGGAAAAGCCTTTGACAAATTCCAACACCTGTTCATGATAAAAACTATTAACAAATTAGTTATAGAAGGAACATACCTCAACATAACAAAGGCCATAAATGACAAGCCCACCACTAACATCCTTCTGAATGGGTAAGAGGTTAAAAGCTTTTTCTCAAAGATCAGGAATAAGACAAAGGTGCCCACTTTGACATCTTCTACTCAACATAGTACCAGAAGTCCTTGCCAAAGCAATTAGGTGTTGAAAAGAAATAAAAGGCATCAGAATTGGAAAGGAAGAAGTGAAATTATCTCTATTTGAAGATGACATGATTTTATACAGAGGTAATCCTGAAGATTTTGCCCAAAACTGTTAGATCTAATCAATGAATTCAGTAGTGGCAGAATACAAGATTAACATACAAAAATGAGTAGCATTTCT